TTGGCGCCGTCTGGGGGTCTGAGGTGGCCCCAGCACTGGTTCCGGGCAGCAGGAAGGCAGGGCAGGTTCGAGGCTCTGGGTGGGGGGAAGGCCTTCTGCTTTTTCGCCCGCCAGGGGCCTCCATCGGGCCCGCAGGCCGTTGGTGACGGATCTGGGGTGAAGCAGTTACGCCATGTGGATCTCGGGAGGGGCTCGGGGACCGATGCTGCGCGGATCAGGCCCCGCCCGCCCCTCGTGACCAACTGTAAGTCGGGCCTATCCCGCTACAGGAAGAATGCTCAAACATAGTTTTAAACATAGTCAGGTGGCTATTCTCTTCAGTTTGTTTTTTGTTGTAAAACAAGTGGTTTCGCCCCAAATCCGCTTGTAGGGGGACATGCCCGACCTAAGACCGATTCTCAGGGCCCCAAGCAGTTCAGACCGTCTGGCCGCCTCCAACGCCCGAGGCTCGGGCGCGCAGGCCGAGCGGGCAGGATGCTGTCGGCCTGCGCTCGCCACCCCGCTTTCGCGGGGCGTCTTGGCCGCTTCCGCGCAGCCTTAAGTCGGGCCTGTCCCTCTACAGGAGGAAAATTCAAAATTATGAAGAAAACCCTCAGGGGACATAATTTTTCGTGAAACATCCGCCTGTATGGGGGACACGCCCGACTTAAGCGCAGCCCGTGCCTGGAGGCCCCCGCTGGGGGCCTCAAGCCTCAAGCCTGAAGCCTGAAGCCTCAAGCCTCAAGCCTGTCCCTTCGCGACCCGTTTCGATCCGTCGTGTGTGCCCACCGTTTCGCAGTGGGGCATCGAAAGCTGCGCTTGTGCTCGTGCTTTTGCGGCTCGGCGGCCGTCAGTCAATCCTCCGTCCCGCGCCGTGGCGCAGCTTTGCTATAGTGGCATGCGGTGCTCGAATAAGAGGTCATCGCTGTGGTTGAGTTTTGAGGCGGAAAAACATCCGAGGCTCGCCCATGGGACGAGACCTGCATGTGAGGGCCCTGGAAGTCTGCCCGGCGCAGCTGGTCCGCGGCCGATATGGGGTCCTTGCGCGCTGGGTCGTGTCGGATGTGCTGGCCATTCGTTTGTCCTCGTGGAGCTGCTCCAGGCTCTATGAAGATGTCACCGTTCTCTGGCCGCAGCCCTGAAGCAGTCTTCGCCTGGGGAAAGTGCCTGGGGGGAACGGCTGGTTGCATAGGGGTGCTGCCGCCCCTCCATGCTCAGGATCGCACTCTCTGTGTTGACGCGCGCTAGCCGAGCGAGGCTGTTCTGCATGAGCGCTCGAGTTTTTGAGGCGAACGGACTGCGCGCAGCCCTCTCGGAGGAGCAGCATCAGGATGATCATGATGATGACGATGAAGATGATGACGATGATGATGATGGTGGTATTGATGATGCTGATGCTGCTGATGATGATGCTGATGCTGATGATGATGATGATGATGATGATGATGATGACGATGATGATGATGATGCTGATGTTTATGATGATGATGTTGACGCTGATGCTGATGCTGATGCTGATGCTGCTGATGATGATGCTGATGACGATAATGATGATGATGATGACGGCGATGACGATGACGATGATGGTGTTGGTGGTGCTGCTGATGTTAATGATGAGGATGATGCTGCTGGTCATGCTGCTGCTGATGATGATGTCGGTGATGATGATGAGGAGGATGAAGAGGAGGAGGAGGAGGAGGAGGAGGAGCAGGAAGAGGAGGAGGAGGATAAGGACCACTTGAAAAGCAAGACGCATCAGCCGTATTGCAATAACCCCTTCCTCCAAGGTTCCTCTTCATCGGTCCCTACACGAATTTAGATTCAATGCGGGAAGTGGCCCATTGGAAGACAACCGTCCTGAGCCTCCAGCGCCGCGGATCAAGGTGACTGTTACGTCCTGAGTTCTGAGTCGTGCCAGAACACCGTTCCTGGGACTTCAACTCCGCTAATCAACGTGACTGTTGTGCCCTGACAGTCCTAAATCATGTCAGAACACCGTTCCTGGGACTTCAACCATGCGAGCTCGTGAAGCTGTCCCAAACTTTCGAGACGAATGTGCGCGGCGCCGAGGCGAGAGGCACATGTTGAGAGGGAACTGTCCTCCATCTTTGAAGCTGTCGCAGACTTCTGAAACGAATGTGCGCGGCGCTGAGGCGAGACGCACATTTCGAAAACGGCTTGTCTTTAGTCTTTCAAGCTATGACGAACTTTCAGGACGAATGTGCGCGGCACTCGGCGAGAGCCACATTTTGAAAACGAGCCGCACTCCCTCCATCCGTGAAATTGTTGTAAACGTTTAAGACGACTGTGCGCGGCGCTAAGGCGAGAGCCACAGTTTGAACATGACCCGCCCTCCATGCTTGTAGCGGTTGCGAATTCTAAGCTTTATTATCGTAAATTGTGAGGAAGTCTCAGGCGAAACGCCTGGCCCGCCCTACCGACACGTCTGGGGGTGCGACATGGAGGATTTACCTACAAGGAGAGGATGATGGAGGAGGAGGAGGAGGAGGAGGAGGAAGAAAGAGGAGGAGGAGGAGGAAGAAGGATGAGGAGGATGAGCGGGACGAAGATCGTTTTTTTTTTTTTGCTATTTGTGGGGTTCACCAAGTGCGTCTTCGGCATCCGGTACTGGTCTCACCTCGACGTACCTCTTTGTATTCACAGGCGTCAGGGACCTCCAGGTCGGCCCGCTGCGCATGCGCGATCCGCCGAACCACTTCATCCAGTGCGACGGCTGCCGCGGCGCCCGCGCGGACGGGCTGCTGGCCACGGCGCCACCCGCTTTCCCAAATACCGACGGCATCAACTTCTAGGGCGGCAGCGACCAGCGGATCTGCAAATCCGTGATCGAGAAATGTGACGATTGCATATCTGTCGTGCCAGCAGAAACATCCAGCAACGACCAATACGAGGCACATCCCGAGACCTGCGAGGGTGGACACGTGATCGCTGAGAACATCACGTGTAGATACGGTCACGGCATCAGCATCGATTCGGTGCGGCATGGCACAGTCAAGAATACCAATTTCTGGAACATCACGTTGACTTGGGGAGTTACTCAAGGCGAGTATGCCACTGGAGAGGCGCGCATAAAGAATTTCCCACGACATCGTATTCGAGGATATCGACGTGCAGGGTGCGATGCTTCCGCTGCAGATCCAGGACTGGTACTGCCCTGGTGGTCCGAAGATCTGTCCGCCAGGCCCAACGGCCGTGGAAGTGAACAGCATCACCTTCAGGCGCATTCGTGGTCACGGCAGCGCTCGCAAAGTGGCAGGCTTTGACTGCGATCCAGCGGCGCCTTGCAGCAAGATCGCCCTAGAGGACGTGCACCTCGAGGGGCCCTGGTGGGACTCTCACTGGCTCTGTCGTTTTTCCTGTCGTACGGTTCGAGGGGCATTGATTGTCTGGCTCGTTGCTTTGCTTCTCTGGTGCACCGTGTGTGTTTGTTCAGGACAGGATCACCGCGATAATCGTGCGTGTCCGCCGTGAAGACAAACTTGCGAGATACGCGGAAATGAGAAGGAGGATAATGAAGAAAAGGAGGAGGAGGAGGAGGAAGAGGCAGAGGAGGAGGAGGAGGAGCAGGAGCAGGAGCAGGAGGGCTGCGTCGGCACGACACTTCAGCCAACAGGTAACAGGTAACAAGAGGAGGAGGAGGAGGAGGAGGAGGAGAAGGAGGAGGAGGAGGAGGAATACGATCAGTTCGTTTACAACAATGCACGCTCATACTCTCCGCAACCCCGCCCCCTAAAACGCAGCAGCCTGCTGCCAGAAAACTTCGGACCTCAAATCCCCCAGACAGTTCTCCAGTGTGCACTTTGGTATCTCGCGGTTGCAGACGGCCGCTCTTCGGGACGTGTGCGGTGCAGCGCTACAACCTCACCGTTGAGAGCCGTGCTCAGGACTCGGCGGTGCCCTCGTGCGGCCCAGACATCTGCGGGCCCGAGGAGCCAAGACAGGCCCCAAACGACCACGAGATTACCAGGCCGTCTCTCGGGGATTCAAGGGGGTACACGAGGGGAGGAATGCTGCAGGTTGCCTTCGTCTTGGGTCTGCTTTCGGAGCCCTCCCGACCTTCTGACAAGCTCCAATATAGCCCCGAGGGCTTCCGATTGATTTCTTCGAGGGCGCCAAGAGGCTTCCAGTCGCTCCCACAACGTCCGAATACGGCCTCAGCAGGACCCAGGGCCAGCCACTGGGAACGCATGAGGAGTACGTAGGGATTGGAGCGTGGGCAGGAGAGGGGGATGGGAGATGATGACGAGGAGGGGAGAAGCGAAGGGCGAAGGGGAAGGAAATCGAGGAGGGACAAGGTTGTGGGAACGAGGGGGAGGAGGGCAGGAACTGGCATGGCCTGGGGCAATGGTCAAAGCCCTCAAGGTCGTCAGATGGGGAGATAGGGTCTTCTGCCTCGAGGCTCCTCGGCAGATGCGCCACTGAAGGGCCAGGCGCAGGTTCCTGCCCCCCCCTCTCCCCCACTCCGCTTCCGCCTCGTCCCTCCACCCAGCAGCGCAGATTTGTCTATGCCCTGGCGGTGTCCAGTCCCCCTTAGTTTCGTGCGAAGGGCGCGCGGGGGAATGATTCCAGAACCCGAGCGGGTCCTGCCTACCAGGAGAGCACCCCTCGCCACAAACATCCGGCTGACACTGCTCCCGCTGGTTGTCAGGACTGCAACGCATCCGCCCCCGTTGCCGAGCTGGCACCCGGCCGCCGGCCAGCACAGTTCCCAGTCGGCGGAGTGCTCGATCCTGGCACGCCGCGGGGATGCCACACTGGCCAGGGACCCCCAGAGGGCTCGGTGGCCACACCGTGGGGTGAGTCAGTGGGCGCTCGGGGCGACCGCACGGCTCTGGGATTCGAGTCGTTCTCCGAGGATGCCTCGGGCGACTGGCCTCCGCGGTCCCAACACCGTGCGGCCACGGAGCGCGCGGCGAGGTCTCCGGGGATGCCGAGGTCACCGCACGGTGTGCCACCGCACCGTCTTGGGACCCCTGGGCTAGAGTTGTGCTTCGCTTCGCCTCGCAAGGTCAGGGGCATCGACGACGGGCTGGTCTCTGTCGAGCACCGCCCGCTGGGACGGCACCGGAGACCCGTCCTGGTGAGGGGCGTCAGCAGGCAGGGGCGCCGGAGGCGCGCGCTCGCCTGGGCCGAGCGGGCGCTGCCTGGCCCAGGCAGGCCCGAGCTCGTGCGGCCCGCGGCCCAAAGTTCGGACCTTCCCTGGCCGCCACGGTGGCGGGGAAGTTCGATGACCTTCGGGACGTGTTGATAGCCAATATCTAGATGCTCGTTTTGGGGACCTTCCTGGGGCCCACCTAACGGATATGTTCGACTCAAGTTCGACTCAATTCGATTCAGGTTCGATTCAGGTTCGACTCAAGGTCGACTCACATCGACGGACGTTCGACGCAGCTTCGACGTACGAGTGGAGCGAGTGGCTCCAGGACGGTCCCCAGAATGAGAATCCAACAATATGTGCTTGCCCCGCTCGGCTCCGCCGATAGTGCGCCGCCAGTTTCGGTTCCTCAGTGCGCGGCCTGCGTCGTTTTGACAGGCCTCGGTGGACGAGCACACGTGGGCGTCAATAACACACACACGTTCTGAGTCTCGTCCTGGGCGGCAGCAGCGAAAGTGTCCTGGCCGTCCAGCTCCAGAAGTGTGGGGGGCTGGGCTGGCTGGCCGGAGGCCTGGGCTGGCTGGCCGCCCCCCTGCCTCCTGAGAGCTCCCCGCTGCCCACCTCCACTCGTCCACGCCTCCTGCCTCCCGAAATCCTCAGGGGCGCCGCTCGAGGGGATGCATCGACCCCGCATCGCTCGTTCACCGCCGATGGGGGCCCGATGGCCCCACCCCGCCCAGGACCGTGCGGATTCGCCATTGGGGGCCCATTGCCGATCCATCGGCCATCGGCGATGCCGCGCCGATTCCAGGTCGATGTTCCCCCCCCCCCCCCCCCTGAGCCAGTCCCCCCCGAATCTTGCCCCTCTTCACCGAACGCGTTCCAATGCTCGCAACATGCCTGCTCGCAAACGTCCAACAAGACCAATGTTGTTCGCTGCAGTGTCGCTCGTTCGCCGCGATGCAGTGGACTCAGGCCACTTGCGAGCAAGTACTTTGTGAGTCGTGGCGCTCGCTTGTCTGCCTCTGAACCTCCAAGCCCAGCCGCGAGCTGGGGCGCGGCCGCGGCGCGCTCCCGCCCCCGCTTCTGGCGCCCTGCCGCTCGGTGGCCATAGGCTCGGGGGCTGGGGAGGATACGGCCGGGGACTTTTGGATGGCGTGCCGCTCCGCTGGCATCCGCTTTCTACGTCGCAGCGCGGCAGTCCGCACGCGCGCTCCGGCGGCCGGGGACGCGGGAGGCGCAAATGAGCCGGCGGCAGGAGGGGAGGGAGCGGCCGCGGAGCGGCCGCGGAGCGGGAGGCAGAGAGGGGGGGGGCACTCACATGGCGAGGTGCGTCACCGCGGAGCGGCCCGGGGCGGCCAGCCAGTGCTGCACCGCGGCGCAGTCCTTTGGCGGCGCCCACTCGAGGGGGCGGCGCGAAGGGGGACGGCCTTCGAATAATAGAAGGCGCGGGGGCTGCTTAAAAGTCCGCCCAGCTTCTCCGGCCTCCATCGCGCCCCCTCCTCCTCCTCCTCCTCCTCCTCCTCCTCCTCCTCCTCCTCCTCCTCCTCCTCCTCCTCCTCCTCCCCTAACAGAGTAGGCTTCAGTAGAACTCGCCCTGCGCTCCCCAGGCTCGCCCAGATCCTCTGGCTGTGCAGCTCGAGGGGCTGCGAGCGGCCCCGCCCGCCAGACTGCGTCCATCACGAAGTCTGGGCAGCGGATCTGGGGAGCTCCCGCCCGACGGGCAATTCGAGTTTCCACCTCTCTGGACCAGTGCAGCTCCCGCGAGCGCCGGGCCGCACGCGGGGCCTGGCCAGCGCTCAGGCAGGGCGCTCGCGGGTCGGCTGGAGGAGGCCCGTTCTTGATGCCGATCGCCCCCTCGTCGAAGTAGGACCTGATGGTGTTCACATCGTCCCAGGACGGTGACTCGCCCAGTTCCATCTCAACTGTAACGTGGGACGGGTACGTTTGGACGTCCCGGGCGAGCTTCGCCATCTCGAGCTCCTGCGGGCCAGGGGGGGCTTCGGGGGAGGCGTCGCGGGCTATGCCGCGTCCCTTTGCGGCGAAGTGGGAGCCGCAAGTGGGCAGTCGCGCCGCCAGCGCTGCCGCCCCTCGCTTCACGACTCCGGCGACGGCGGCGACGGCGACGGCCGCCACGTTGACGACGACGGCGACGACCTCGGCGACGTCCGCGGCGTCGGCCACGACGACGGCGACAACGGCGGCGGCCGCCGCGGCGTCGACGACGACGGCGACGACCGCGTCGACGACCCCCGTTTCCCTCAGGACCTGCTTCCTTCATGCCGACACCTGTAGGCATGGAGGAGGGGGACTCATCAGAAGGGGGCGGGGCCTCTTAGAAGCCCTCTGGCCTTTGAGATGGCCTCTGCGGTGTTGGAGAGGGCTTGGAAAGCTTCTCAGACGGTAGGAGACCTTCTGAGCTTTCTGAACAGGCCCGCCCCCTCCGTCTCTTCCCTGGAGCGCGCCGCCGATACCCGCGAGCGCGGGCGCCGACACACGCGCTGCTGGCAGGCAGACGCTCGCCGTCCCTCCTCGCGCACTGCAGCGGCTACAATCGCCTAGGGAAAATGCCCGTGCTCTCTCTGTGTGGTGTGTGTGTGTGTGTTTGCTTGCTTGCTTGTTTGCTTGCTTGCTTGTTTGTTTGTTTGTTTGTTTGTTTGTTTGTTTGTTTGCTGTGTGTGTGCATTGTTCAAGGTGTGCTGCTGGGTTGATGCCCGTGCTCAGCTTCGCTCTTCGTCTTGTGCGTATGGTTCAAGGTGTGTTGCTAGATTGGCGAATTGCCGTACGCTTTTTGTTGTGCACGTGGGAACTCGTTCATGAGGCCGCTATAGATGTGTGGAGGTTGGTCGTCATATGGTATCGGCAAATTGCTTTGCTCAAGAGCTGGCATCCTCTAGTTGTGCAACAACTTTTTCCGGCGAGGCGAAGTTCCGGCGCTTCCGATGGGAAGGCACGCAATTCCGAACATACGCGCTACAATATTTGGTACGTTGAGTTTCGGAGGCCACCGAAAGAGCATGTGGACGTGGCAAGGTGACAGCTCAGTGTGCACGAAGCTTACGTCTCTCACAGGCCTGGGCGACGATCTCGGATCCCAGCTCGAGTGCTGGCTTGGCGCTGGCGCGGCCCAGCCCGCTCTGGCTCGTGGGCGGGAGACACATCTGCGTTCTCGTGGCCTCGCCGGCTGGGCCCCTGGGCCGCGACCCCGTGGATGCGCTGCGTGCCTTCCCGGGTGGCACGCGCCCAGCGCATCCATGCGACCGCGTGCCCACGGGAACGCGCCCACGGGATCCAGACCGCGAGGGCGTGGATGTGGATACGCTCGCCGCGCGTGACTGCGGCCCCCCTTGGGCCATGCAGGGCCCCGCGGCGCCGCTGCGCTGCTGGGCCGCCGCCCCGCGCGCTCTGGGTGCGCGCCCCGGCAGCCTCGCCGCACCTGTCCGGGCCGCCTGCGACCCGATTCGATGCGATTCGATTCGCCGACCGGGGCCGCGATTCCGATTCCGATTCGCTTCGATTCGCTTCGATTCGCCGGCGTCGGCCGGGGCCTGCTGGAGCCAGTCGCGGCGCTCCGATCTCGAGCCGATCCGAGACGATGCGCTGGCGATCCGATCCGTTTCCGATCCGATCCAGCCTCGCGGCTCGAGCGAGCTCTGATGGGCGTGTTTTCCACCACCACCACCATCAGTTGGAGAGGGGGGGTCTTCCTCCTCCTCCTCCTCCTCCTCCTCCTCCTCCTCCTCCTCCTCCCCCTCCTCCTCCTCCTCCGTTTGGCTCCTCGCCTTCCTCCTACCCTCATTCCTAACCTCATCCTCCTCCTCCTCCTCAAAACCCTTCGCGTCCCCTCCGCCTCTCCACATGTGTCCTCCCTCCAGGTCGCTCTCCTCCTTCCTCTATTAATCCTCCTCCTCCTCCTTCCCCACATACAACCCCAGGTGGTGGTCGGGTGGTGGGGATGGCTGGCTACATCGTGCTCGGGACTGCTGCCTGCCCTCGAGGGACCGACCTCTCCCTACCTCATGGCATGTGCCCGAGCTCGGCGGGCCTGGGCGGGCCTCGGCCGGCCAGGCTGCGAAGCTTGGGGGGACCACGATTCGGTGCCGCATCCTCTCTCTTCAACTACACCTCATCAAGACTACGCTCATGGAACGGACACCCAAGGTAAGCGCACGTCCCTCCCCACGTCCCCCTCCTCCTCCTCCCTACCTCCCCCCTCCTCCCTCCATCCTGCTCCCTCCTCCTCCTCCTCCTCCTCCTGCTCCACCTCCTCCTTAATCCCACCACCCCCCCCCCCCCCCCCCCCCCTCCATCCTCCTACTCCTCCTCCTCCTCATTCCTCCTCCTCTCTTGCAGGGCCGATCGACAACGACAGCCGCAACACGCCCGCCAGCAAGGTCGGGGGAGGGGCGGCCGGCACCCGACAGGTGCGATCGGAGGCACCCATCTATTCTGCAGTGGGCCTCGGCCAGGCCAATCTTGGGCCCAGGATCGGTGTAAATGCCTTCCTGCCCCAGGCAGGACGGCGTATACACCGATCCTGGATTGGTGTTGGTGTATAGTTGGTGCCCTCTTGCCGAGGTCAGTATCGTTCAACCGATCCCCATCCCCATCCCCATCCCCTTCGAGACCCCCACCAAATTACCACCCCCAGTTGGGGAAAACCACCCCTCGAAGCCCGAAGAATACGGCCTATATCCCCATCCAGGGGGGTGGATTGGCCAGTGGGGCCCAGGCCACGCATCTGGGGATGGGGATCGCTTAAGCGATACTCATCGGGGAGGCGGCGGCACCCCGAGGTCGGGCTTCCATATGGCCGAGCTACCCCTCTGCGGGCGCAAACGCTGCCTAACCTGCCGCGCTCCCACGGCGCGCCGACGATACTTTTACAGTGCCGTCGGCGCCCGTGAAGAGGTATTTGTTGGTACCTGCGGGCAGCCTGTGACAAGTATTTGGAGGCACTCGTGCGCAGCTCAAGGAAGGTACTTCGGAGGTACCTGCGGGTCCGAGTCGCATAATAAGGATGCGCGGTGAGGATGCGAGGGTCTTTGTGGGCCAGGTTGGCGTTTTCGAACGGGGTTGGCCTGCGAAAGTTGCCAAAGCTGGGCCGAAGGGGCAAGGATGCAAGGACAGTTGCTCACCCTTACTGTGCGACTTGACTGTGCCCCTGCGGGTCCAATCGACGCTGGGGCATCGGATGCCCCCGCTGGGGTTCACTTGGCTGCTGACATCCTTCAACTCCTGAGCCCCAGCCGGCTCTTCAGAACTCTGACCTGCCGGGGCAGGGTTCCCTTGAGATCCGACGCTGTGAAAAGATTGCGAAGGCCTGACGGCCGGTGCCGCCGACCCTGTTCGCAATGCGCAGCAAGAGGCACGGGCTGTGGGATGGTTTGGGGGAACGGGTGTTAGGACAGTGTAGGTGGAGGGAGGGTGGTGGAGGTTCTGCACACGGGGACTGCAAAGGGGTAATCAACCTCGGGTCACACAAGGGTTCGCAGCGACACCAAAAACAGTAGGGGTGGGTTTGGGTGCGGGGATGGGGGCGGGGGGGGGGCAAGTTACGCTGAAGGGAGCGGGGTGAGGGGGTGTGTGTTTTGTGGCGGGGCGTGGGGAGTTCATATTTTCTCGGCTTTTTGTCTTTTTTTTCTTTTTTTTTTTTACCTCTCATTTTTTTCTTTTCTTTGTTTTCTTTTTTCCCTTCGACTCAATGACGACGTTGCTCAAGGTCGGTACGGGGGGGGGCGTCGTATCTGACTCGGGGGGGGGGTCGCTACCCCCTCCCGCTACCCCCCCCCCCCTCCCGGCGGGGGAGGGATCAAAGGGAAGGGGCTTCCCTTCGACTCAATTACGAGGTTGCTCAAGGTCGGCTTGGCTGGAGCCCAGGGGAAGAGGAGTCCCAGGGGGGGGCGTCGTATCTGACCCGGGGGGGGGGTCGCTACCCCCCCCCCCCCTCCCGGCGGGGGAGGGATCAAAGGGAAGGGGCTTCCCTTCGACTCAATTACGAGGTTGCTCAAGGTCGGCTTGGCTGGAGCCCAGGGGAAGAGGAGTCCCAGGGGGGGGCGTCGTATCTGACCCGGGGGGGGGGTCGACACCCCCCCCCCCCTCCCGGCGGGGGAGGGATCAAAGGGAAGGGGCTTACCTTCGACTCAATTACGAGGTTGCTCAAGGTCGGCTTGGCTGGAGCCCAGGGGAAGAGGAGTCCCAGGGGGGGGCGTCGTATCTGACCCGGGGGGGGGGGGTAGCTACCCCCCACCCCCATCCCGTGCGGGGGTAGGGATCAAAGGGAAGGGGCTTCCCTTATCCGACTCTTTTACGAGGTTTGCTCTTGGTCGGGATTGATGGAGCCCCAGGGGTATGAAGAGGCTAGTTCCCAGGCGGGGGGCGTCGTATAGGACCCGGGGGGGGGGGGGTCGTACTCCCCCCCACCCTCACGGCGGGGGAGGGTGGAAAGGAAGGCTTCCCTTCGACTCAATTACGAGGTTGCTCAAGGTCGGCTTGGCTGGAGCCCAGGGGAAGAGGTCTCCCAGGGAAAGGGAAGGACAGAGACGACGAGTACAAAGAATGACGGAGATGACGGCTCGAACGGAAAAACCCCTCACACACGCCGACAGGGTCGGCGGATTTTAGATGCTTCGCGTAACCCCACAGCCCGACGACGCCGAGGCCGACGCCGAAGCCGAGGCCGACGCCGAAGCCGACGACGACGCCGGCGCCGACGCCGACGCCGACGATGCCGACGTCGACGACGTTGACGCCGACAACGACGACGCAGACCCGCTGCAGCACCACAGCTGCCGCAGCAGCTGCTGCAGCAGCAGCAGCGGCATCTTGCCTCCCCGCGTTTCGTCGACAGAAGACAACGTCCCAGAGGGGAATCGAGGTGCGGTTGAGGCAAAGGCCACGATACCGCCCCCCACATCGTGGTCAGACGATGGCGCCCCAGTGGGGAATCGAGAGGAGGTAGCCTGCAGTGACCAGTGTGCAGCTCACACGAACGTTCCCCCCCTTCAGCTGTACCAGCAGGCCAGAGGAAAGGAACGGGAAGTCACTGCGGAGACGGCGGAGGCTGCGGAAGCCGCGGAGTACCCCCCTCTGGCCAAACTGTCCGTCAGCAGTCCTCTGTACCAGCAAGGCAGAGGAATGGAGGGGGAAGTCACGGCGGAGACGGCGGAGGCTGCGGAAACCGCGGAATTTCCCCCACAGTGCAACCAGCGCGCCAGCAGTCCTCCGGGATGCAGTTTCCAGGGTGCGGCTCATACGAACGACCCTCGAGAGGAGGCAACATACAGTGACCAGTGTACTGCTCATTCTAAGCGCTCCCCCCTCCAGCAGGACCAACAGACCAGAGGAAAGGAGTGGGAAGTCACGTCGGAGTCGGCGGAGGCTGCGAAAGCCCCGGGGCACCCCCCTCAGGACAACCGTTCCGTCAGCAATCCCCCGGGAGAGCCACGCACTCAGCAGGGAGACCACGGAACTGCCACCCAGACGCAGGACAATGAAGCCATACGCTGGCTCGTTGAGAGAAACCTCTTCGCGCCTATTCGCCCCCCGTCCCCTGTCAGTGAGCCTCTTATGGGCGCCGAACCCCCGACGCCCTCGACAGGCGTCCAGGACGCCACCAGAGAGGGAGGCAACACTTTCCCCCTGCCAGTGTTGACA